ATCAGAGGAGAAGTTTCCGATCTGCATCGGGGTGATTCCGCGGAGATTGCTATCATTAGAATAACTTTATTAGGCTTTCTGCTGCATTTCCTGTTTGATTTACTGAGCAGTCCCAGGGGCTCATGGGTAGGCACTTAGGGCTCCGCTTGCACGAGCCAGACCTGCCGATGTTGTTCCGCAACAACCTGAGTGTAACGTCCCTATTAATCTGGAGCTAAACGTAGCAGAAACATCACCAAGGTGCTGCCCAATAAATCTCTTTCAGGGACTTTAAATGCAGCATGTGCACTCGTTGGTGTGTCAGTTGTTGGTGTTGACACAGAGATAACAACCATTTGTGGTCCTGCATAGGATTATGGGTATGTTCAGGGTATTACTCTCTCTCTTTGTGCCTTACGCGTTGTCTAATGACTGAAGTGTGAGTTCAAAACAAATGCATTGAGAATAAAACTTTGTTGCACTTTGTTTTATCTCGTCTTGTTATCGGCGTCACATGGGACACAAAACAATCCACACCTGGTTTAAGACTAAACTTCCACTGCTTCACTTTGTCTGTTTTTTTACAGGCGCCAACCGCCAAGTGAACCCGATACGCAAGTGTCTTAAAGCTGCATTATCTCTACTGACCACCAGGGGGCGACTCCTCTGGTTGTATAGAAGTCTATGGGAAAATGACTCTACTTCTCTCTTGATTTATTACCTCAGTAAACATTGTAAACATGAGTTTATGGTCTCAATCTCTAGTTTCAAGTCTTCTTCAACACAGCATGATGTTCATTTAGTAAATTATGGTCCATTTAGAGTCAAACAGACCATAAAGCAGGGTATGCTTTAGGGCGGGGCTACTGTGATTGACAGGTCGCTACCAGAGCCGTATACGGCGTCTCTACGTCACTCCTTCTCAGTCCAAATATGGTGACTTCCGTTTATTGTTGCAAAAAAACAACATGACGACGGCCGTAATCCAAGATAAATGGATTACGATAAATCCATCGTAATCCATTGAGACGGCAAAATCGCCAAACTCAAGGCTTCAAAACAGCAGTCCACAAACCAATGGGTGACGTCATGATGACTTCTTAAACACAGTCTATGTTTTTTTTTATCAGATTTGCAGGCTAACGCTCGTGGCACAGAACAGACCAGAAACCAAAAGCATGACACAAAGACAGTCAGTGTGATACAAATTCAAATTTGATCCAGAAACTAAACAAGGAGTTGAATCAGTAAAGGCAAACTTAACCAGGCAGGGGGCAGGCGAACAAACCAGTCTATAAGCTGGGCTGATTAGTGGGGAATTGGAAGAAGGTGCGTAAGTGGGTGGGGAAGGTCAGGTGGTTAAAAATGGTGGCAAAGTTGTGACTGGAGCGAGTGGCTGCATGTGGGAGCACATGCAAGTCGGTAAAAGAGCAACAGAATGAATGTAACGGCAAAGTAAAACTCATCAAAATGTCTTGTTAAGTCTTTCTACTGTTCCAACGATCTCCAACTCTGGTTTGGTCAAAATGAACCCATAATGCAAATAGTTACATGTGAAAAGAAATAGACGTTAATCCTTTTTTACGAAAACATGAATTTTACCTCAAAGATCGTTGTAAAACACACTCCATGAAAACTTGATAGGAACAAAACAACTCATGGAAACAGTCTTTGTCTTTCCACTGTTCCCACAATCAGGAACTCTGGTTTGAAAGAGAGGCAGAATAAGTAACAAAGTAAATAAATAATCAGTGTAACAGTTTCACTGTATTCTGACGCAACCAGGAAAAAAACAACGGAAAGGCTTCTCGTCCACTGTCAATGGAAAATAAGTTCATTACCTATCGTGGGTTTTGCCATGCTTTAAAAAACGGCATTTTTGCACTACGTTTGGTAGAAAAAGTGGAAAAGTGTTTTTTTTTAGCTCAATCGATCTTGATCCCCAGGTCTGAACTGTGGCACTCTTGATTCTGCAAAATAAAAGTGCCAAAATTCAGATTGCAGTATTGACAAATAGTAGGGTGGCCATTAACATTAAGCATTCATTGATTTTCTTTACTTTTATTTTATTTTTTAACAATTTTCACAAAAAAACACTAAAATTCTTTGATAAGACCAGGTTGGTTTTGAACCTATTTTTTATTTTTTTTTGCACAGATTTTAAACATCACAAAGCTGTAGTGATTCCTGTTGCAAGAGGGCACTGATCTCATCCATAAACAAGATTCCCTTCTAACCTGAAAGCTCACAAAAGAACTATTCAAGTTACAAAAAAACAAAAGTGAAGAGCAAATAATGGAATCAGCCAAAAATAATGAACCCTGCATAAATAGCCAAATAGGAAAATGAACATCTGAAGTTTAAAGCTGAGATATGTTTTATGGCGTGTTAATTTATGTCACAGATTTGAAACAATAGAAACAGTTATTAATTTCCTCGTCCTCACGATTCTATGACATTCTTCAACTAATTGTTGAATGGTGTATATTAGGCTGATGAGTGCTAACTCTGGTTTAAGAACCACATGCGACGGAGCCAAGCTGTGAGGCGTTCCAGTCCTGGTTATCTCAACAGCGAGACACTTGACAGCCTGGCAGAGCTACAAGTTTCAGTCCACTTTTTTCTGAGTAGTTAAGTGATGTACAACACAGGCTGGGAATAATAAAAAAGAAACACACACACACACACACACACACACACACACAAACCCACACAATACGATGCTCACTTGAAATCTGGTTCCATGAAGCCCAAACTCCCGTTCCTCCAGTATTCCCTCTAGTCATCTGTGAAGTGTTAATGTGCACTGTTGATTGACATCTTCATGACGACTCTGGGGGTTTGCGTTCAGCGGAGCGGGAAGTGTACGTTCTTTAAGTGTGTCCATCCTGCAGATGTGCATCCAGGAAACAGGAACACAAACAATGCAAATTATGGGAATAACTCATGCCTATTATAAGTGATGAAAGTTTGAATCACGTATTTCGTGAGCTGTTTTGTTTTAAATTGTCGCTTTAGTTCTGTCGGTTGAGCATTTTACCAGAGCTGGAAAAAATACATTAACGGAGGTACTGTGCTTTTCAGGTACTTTACTTGAGTATTTTCATTGTATACTATTTCATACTTCTCCTCCACTACAATTCATATTTTAGAAATATGGTACTCTTTACTTTCCTGCATTTATTTGACAACTATAGATACTAGTTACTTTACAGATCAATATTTTACAATCACAACATATGTTGAGTTTATTAATTAAGATTTATTATGGATTAAACTACCCAAAAGTATATATAATATTTAAAGTTAGCTCCTCAGTGATCAGCTACAATATTAAAATGCTACAATGCAATAATATCATAAATAATAGGGTAACACTCATTTTTCAGCAGTATGAGTACCTTTACTTTTGTTACTTTGAGTACTGAATCTTAAAACTCTATTTAAATGACTTAAAACTCACATAATAAATGACTTAAAACTCACATATTTAAATCTGCTTTCAACACGTGAAGCCAGTTATGTATGTTTTATTGTGTTGTTCCTTATTGTCATGTCTCTTTTGTTCAAAGTATGTCTCTAATGTTAAAATTGCTTCTATTGTTTCTGTTTTTATCATGTAAAGTGCCTTTGACTACCTTTTTAAAACGCTATACAAATACAATATATTATTAATATTACTATTTTGTTAATAGAATTTACATTTAACTTGAGAGAATGCAGAATTTGTTATTATTTCACTAAAATGAGGCAATTGTATTTTTCATTATTTAATATTTCACTTCTCAACAGATGATATTAAATGGATTTTCGTGTTGCTTACATCGATGTGCCTTTTCAACAATGTGCGCATGTCATTGGGTTGAAGTGAAGCTTCATGAGTTCGTCACCCTCAGCTTGCCTTTGCATCAACTGGAACTTTTAAGTGGGAAACTGTTTATTTGCTACGACATTAACAATTTCTACAAATATCACAAGAAGATATTGTATCTATTTTATTTTTTTCAAAAGTGGATCCGGCATCATCTATGAATGCTTTCTGGGAAACTTGTCTTGTGCAGCCTGCTAATTTAAAAAAATAAGCAACAGCATGAGAAGCCCGCGGTAACAAGAGTCAGTGATTCATCAGTCACCATTCTTGTCGTAATTATGATTTCTATTTTGACATCTGGGGAAAGTCTTTGAAGTGTGTTTGATGCCGTGGAGAGCCAGCGAACAGCCTAATGGAGACGGAGTTTACAAACTGTTGCCAGTCTTCTCTGAGCAATCACCCGCGATACCCACCCGTGGTGAGACTCCAGCGTTCAGCACAAAGCTGGAGCTCGTCATCCGCTAACATGGAGCCACATGTGCTGAAAACTCTTTCACAACTGTATATGTGGACGCCGCTTTTTTATTTTGCATTCTTTTTTAGGATATTTCACTTACTTAATGAGGTCAAAACTTTTTAAATTCGATTTTTTTCCCCCAACAAGAAATCCTCCAAAACAGAGTAGCGCTGTTATCGGAGAGCATTAGCCGTCTGTGTGGAAAACCCTTTTCTAAGTGTGAGGTAAATAACGCTGATCCTTCTGAACACAGTGATAATGAGGAGGAGCATTACGCTGGAGTTCCCGGTGTTTGTCGGTGCCTTCACCTCTGTTTGTCGCTTTGTAACGTCAAAATCAGGAAGCGACGAGGCACATTCGTTAGCTCTCTACTTTGTCACGTGTGCGTTTTTTTGTGTCAACACCAGACTTCACACTTTCATGCATGTGTATGAATTCTCTTTTCCCCTGAACACACACAATGTTACACTCTGGCTTTTTTTTTTATTCATGAAAAAACAAAAAAAAGAGCAGAACATCAAGGGAACGCCGGCCCAGACTGGCTGGCACATATCGCAGGGTGTTATTAACAGGTGAGGGTAATCTTCTAAAGGTGCAGACACCCGGCCTCACCTGGGGTTCACAGCGAGGTCACGACACCTGTGCTGCTTTCTCTCTCTTAACTCCCCGCAGAGGGCTTCGCGATCACAGGTGTTCACACCTCACATTTCTTTATTTCAAGACTTTCACAGGTGCCTCAGATACACTCAGCAGTAGAGGAGCCCAGGTACAGTCGCTCTGACAGGAAGAGGCACGGCAGAGCGTTGATTTGTACGGCGAGCTCTCTTGCACAGACTTTCAAATATATTTACAATAATAAACAATCAATGATTCATAAGATGTGATATTTACAGTTATTACAAAGAACGTGTTCAGTGACTGCGGCTGAGGGAGTCAGTCAGCGACTGGAGTTGATATCTCTTAGCAGTGGATTTAAAAACAATTCACTTTGTTTCATCTTTTGTCCGCAGAGGAGAAGAAAAAAAAGAAGAAAAAAGAATTCCCACTCTGGTGCCAAAAAGAGTCTGGTCAAGTTAATGCCAAGAAATCTGTGGTACAATACAAACAGTTTAATTGTGTAATTAACAATCAATAACCACTTCTAGTTAGAACATTTCTGCAGAAAGGAACCGAGAAACACTTATAAAACAGTCGTAACAAAATAACTGGTGTTCTCCTTGAAATAAACTGATAAAAAAGAAACACTTTTATACAGAATATTTATACAGGAATAGCTTTTTGAATTGGATTGTTAACCAAAGGAAGACACATCGCAGACATCGATTTTCACACAGATTGCATATGTTTTTCTCTCTAAGGTGTTCTATAGGTTAGTCATTTTACCTAAGCTTATTTGCATGATAGTAAAAATTGCATACAACATTAAATTGTGAAGCTTGTAGCAATGAGTTGCTCAACATACAGCACTTTTTTTATAGGCAACCTTTAAAGCACATTTCTCCATTTAAAACGTTTAAGACACTTTTTGTTTTTACTGCCCATCGAAATCACATTTATAAATAGAAAAAAAAAAAAGGTCTGTGGAGTTAACGAAAAAAAAAAAGAATTAAGCTCTACGTAACATAAACTTTAAAAAAAAAAAAAGTAATTACATCAGAAACACTGCATGAACTGCAAATAAATAATGTCGGACAACATAAACGTTTCTAACTGTGTGGCAATTCAGAGAGTTACAGTGACAAAGGTTTTGCAAAATAATCTAACATCGGCAGTGCCGTATAGTACAAGGCATTTGTTGGCATAGTTTCTTTAAGACTGTATCTTTTTTTTTTTTTTTTTTACAGTTACAATATAATGTCTATATATATATATTTATATTTCCTCCCTAACAAATAATACGTAAAGACTGAGCTATCCTCGGAGAGTCACCTGGGCCGGGGGATCGCGTTCCAGAGTTTGGAGAGATCCATTTTTAAAAGAATAACTAATCTGCCAGCAGGCTCCAGACTGGACACCTCAGAACGAAGGCCGTGTCAACCACTTGGTCCTTGATTTCATTTGCTGTCATTATTAATATTATTATTATTTTTTAAATCCAGTTAAACATCACGTACGTAAACACCTATCAAAGTCCTAGCAAACTCCAGGGGGGCGGGGGGGGAGAGAGACTTTTTTTTCTTTTTCTTTTTTTAAATATAATCAGTAGCTCAAAAAGATAAAGTAAGTCAGTGTAAAACAACAGACATAGAGTGCAGTCAGCAAATATCCACGGCAACATACTTAGAATATTTTTTTGTGCAGATTATTTAAATGATGCATCAGTCTTTACAGTGAATAATACAAGTTTTACAAAATCCAAAAAGTAGTACTTGAGTCTGAGATGGGCTTTCCAGTGTGTGAACACGTCACATAGTCGGTCTGCAACAGATGTGTATATAGAAACGCTCCTCGTATAGTCCGGACGCCGTACTGATTAAAAACACTACTTTTCTTTATTTGCAGTGCGGTGGTTCTGTGTCGGCCGGAGCGTTTTGCATTTAGCACAGCCGTCAGTCTGTGTGTGTGTGTGTGTGTGTGTGTGTGTGTGTGTGTGCACGAGAGGAGCTCTCAGTACATGTGCAGTGGGGGGGGGGGGGGGGGGCGTCCTACTCCTTGGCCTCGTGGTCTGACTCCGACTGGGCCTCCGCGCCTCGGGCCAGCTGCTCCTCGATCTTGATGGAGAAGATGGTGCTGTTGGTCTGCGTGCTGTCTTCCAGCTCCTTCAGCAGGTCGCTGCTCTCCCTGAAGTCCGTCAGCTCCTCCTCGAAGGCCGGGCTGCTGCTGCTGCTGCTGCTGGTGTTGGTGGTGGTGGTGGTGCTGTTGTTGTTGGGCTCCTTGGGCGCTTTGGCCGGGTGATTGATGTAGAAACGCTGGCTCTGGAAGAACTTGATGATGGTGAGCTTGGGCAGGTCCAGCTGGGCCGACAGGGTGTGAATGGCCTCCTCGTCCGGGTACAGGCCCACGTCCTGGATGAAGCTCTGCAGGATGCCCAGAGCCTCCAGGGAGATCTTCCCTCCGCAGGTGCGGGACTTGTTCATGCTCCCTCCGCGGCCGCCCTCCTCCTCCATCTCCGCCGGGGAGGCGGTGGAGGGCTGGCGGGGCGGCAGACGGGGGCCGGTGCAGGGCTGCAGTAGCTGCAAGGGCTGCTGGGACAAAAAGGGTTGGGAGGGGTGCTGGAGGGACAGGGAGGGCTGATGCTGATGCTGATGCTGCTGCTGATGATGCTGCTGCAGCGACTGGGGCGGCTGAGCCTGCGGCAGGAAGAGAAAGGAGACGGAGATGTTATCAGTGAACACTTATCGGCGCCTTAATAAGGCCTTTCAATAAAATCAATTGAGTTGTGAGGAGAAACGGGCCCCGCTGTGTATAGAACACGCACTTGGTTGAAGGAATTCTCCATGTAATATCTCATTGAATGCAATCAGTTCTGCAGATATGAATTTTTTTCCCTTTTTTTTTTTGGTGGTGGGAGATTGTGCTTCTCATTGTTGGGGTAGAGGCAACACACACACACGCACACACACACACACATACACACACACACACACACACACACATGAACTCCAGAGACACACTCAGTGGGAAAATGGCCTCTCTATTATAGCCTCTGCTGCTTATCAGGCTCTATTGCCAGGCAGTGATAAACAAGATCCCTGTGCACAATTCCCGTCGCGATGGTCTGGCTGATTGTCCGCGGTGTGAGAATGCTATCGATGGCTTTCACTCCGCCGTCAGACTCCCGTCAGTGTAAACACATGACACACTGCTCGTAAAATGCCTCATTGTGTGGTTGGAGAGGGAGCGAGTGGGCAACTCGTGGTCCCCATTGACCCTGCGAAATGGGTGCTCTTTTATTTTCATTTCTGAGTCAGACGCTGTGGAATAGGTGTTTCGTAATGAAGTTTGCAAAACAGCACTTTGCAGGGACTCTGCTTGCCAGCTGCTTAAATGCACCCAAAGATGTGATTTTACTGTACCAATAAACCGAGCTATGATAGTTCTTGTTGAGCAAATGGGAGCTAATTTGGCTAATGCGTCGCGTTAGTGAAGGAGAGGACCGAAATATTTAAACACGAGTCTCTCGTGGACAGTGTAAAACTACACCATTAAATCAGAAATAATCCTATTTTATCAATCTTCTGTTTACATGCAAAGTGTGCAAAAAAACTTCCCTCATTGCATTTCTGCTGATGAAACTGATTTGTAAAAGAAATCCTATTACCTTATTTATATCCAGTAAATGGCCGCCTTTGTGAAACACTGGCCATGTCGCCAAGTAACCAAATAACGCTGTGGCTCAGAAGTTTTATTGTGCTTTATTATTATTTAATTTTGACCGTTAACCGAGCTTGTGTTCTATTTTCTACTCATCTAGAAGATGTCCTCCTATAAAGCAGCTGTTAAATCAGTTCGGGCTAATCTTTGCAAATGGCTTTCGCTGAAACGTAGGACATTCTAATTGTTGCTGTGTTTCTAATTAACAAGTTCATAGAAAGTTATTTAATTCAAAGTCTTGAGTATATTTGTAAAAATGAAATGATAAAATGTAGGTAAAATACATTATATATTTTGGATATGGTCCAAAATTCATTCGTTTGAGTTGCGAGTTGGGAAATAAAATCAATCAAACTACTAATTTGGCCTTCAGATGAGAGGGAACTTCAACATTTCCCCAAAAACTGTAGCCTGTGCCATTGGTTAAGCTACTTAAGGTTGCCTGGTTCAAACCCATGTTCCAGAAAGCCGTCGTGCCCGAGCTAGTCGTGGCCTAGTGCCTTGCCCAAAGGCACAGCGGTGTCACGCCTCACCTGTGGCAGCTCGGCGGAGATGTGCATCAGGTGCGTCGGCCGCTCGTTGTGGTGCTGCTGCTGCCCGGCGCTGCTCTCCTGCTCGTAGATGGCGTCCCGTTCGACCTGGCAGAGGCTCAGGAAGCGGCGGATCATGGAGAGGTTCTCCCAGAGCGTGCGGTTCTCCGGAGAGGGGTCCTCCTTCCAACGCAGCAGCTCACAGAGCCAGCCCTGAGGGAGGGATCAGAGGGAGACACGGGGGAGAGAGAGAGAGAGAGAGCAGGTCAGTAACGCTCGGTCTTCTTTTAGGATCAAATATGAGCACCGGTTAAAAGAATGTATTATGAATTTCCTGTTGTTTAAACTAATAGGCCCCCCGAGTATGGACACTGGTTCACATGGTCACACAGTTCTACAGTGCTTTACCTAAGAGGAGAACCAGATTATTAAATACTTCTTCTAGTGTGAAAGTAAATGTGAGTTTACATCCAAATGTTCTTTGCAAAGTATCAAAAAGAAAAAGATTTCCAATGTAAATCACACACACACTAAACAGCCCTGCACCTGCAGTTAGAAGATGTGAATGAGCCAAGGTCAAGCTACACAGCAGGGAGGAACGAGTTAACTGGAGGAGAAACACACACACGCACGCACGCACGCACGCACGCACGCACGCACGCACGCACGCACGCACGCACGCACGCACGCGCGCACGCGCGTACTGGGAGGAGGGAAGTGACTCCCATGTTTGAAACGCTCCAGCAGAGGGCCATGAAAGACAGAGCTGAGGAGCGGCGAGGGACGATTAGAACCAGAGAGGCTTCATTTGATCGATGCAACGGAGGCACAGCGAGACTGACCCCGATGAGGGGAAGATTCACACGTTACTGAAGGAGCAGGACTATATCTATATATATCTATATATATATAGATATATATATATAAACTATACTATATTGTTGTTGTAGAGTGAGATAAATACACAGAATAACTCGTGTGCAAAGTGCAACTTAGTAAACAAATTGCCTTTCAGTTGAATTTCATCATGATGATGTGATCACACAGAACTCTAAATCAACAATCCAAAGACTATATAAATAACAACAAATATAATGTGTTTCCCAAATGGTAATTAAAATTTGTTTCTAATATACATTTCACTTGATGTCAATTTGAACACTACTTTAAAATATTGACATATTCACTATATATCAATATGAGGACATATTCGTAATAATATTACGTTGATTCGAACGGAGCAGAAACGATTACTCGACAGATCAGGTTGATCATCGATCCGATTATTTCAGTATATTTTTCAAGCAAAAAACTCCAAACATTGTCTGGTTCCAGCTGCTCATACCGACTGTGAAGATATGACAGTAAACTACAAAGTTCTGCTTTTGGACTGTTCCAAAATCTTCACTTTTCACAATTGTTTTATATTTGCCAAACAATCAATCAATCTATTTACAGGCTAAAAGGCAGAATAAACAGCCAAAAATAATGATGGATATACTCTATGTTCTATGTGTACATTTCATTGTGCGAGCATGTGTTATAAAATGAACCTTGGAGCTATATTAGATTTATTCTTTCATTTCCGTACTTGCGAGTGCTTTGGTGTTGTATTTAAAAGTCTTATTCGAGTCAGGACGTCTGGTTTGAGCTTTGGTCGAGGTCTTACCACGCTCTAACTCAGACGTGTGTTTGTGTTTGTTCATGGAGCTGAGGGACTATCTGAGGATTCACGACTGTACAGACAGAAGGGCTCAGCGGGAGTTGGGTGACGTGGTCTCACAGCCTCAGACGTGATGACCTAAACCTCACCAGAGCAGAGCAGTGAGTGTGTGTGAGTGTGAGTAAGAGCGAAGGGAAATAACACACTGTAGTGCTGTGTGGGAGAGCGAAGAGGAGGTAGAGGATAGGAGGGAGGGGGGGGGGGGGGGGTACAAGAGAGCTGTAAAGGGACAGAAGTGGATGAAGAAGGACGGACGGCCGGGGAGTGAAACCAGCGAGGAGGAAACACAGCGTCAAAGAGAAGCATTGAGGTGTGTATGAGTGTGTGTGTGTGTGTGTGTTACGGGGGGCTACTCGCTCAGCCGGGTAGTCTGTCCTGGCGCTGTGACAGAGCGGCGCTGTAATCTCCCGGCCAGTGAGCGGCAGCACCTTTCATTTCCACAGGATTACACCGCGCTGCTGGTCCGCACACACGCACATACACACACACACACATGCACACGCACACACAGAGGGCAGAGCCACGCCGCCACACTGCATGCAAGAGATAACTCAGCAGTTTGGTTGTCCCCTGTTCCAACTCCTCCCATAAGCCACATCAAACCCAGGAGGGGGTTTGGAGGAGATGGGGGAGAAAGAGAGAGGGAGAGAGAAAGAGAGACATAAAGAGAGAGAGAGGAGAGCGGGGTAGAGGGGGCCATAAAGCCTGCGTGCCCACCTTGTTCCTTTGCCACGTTTATTGTTGCGTTTTTAATTTGCATGCAGAGGGATTTGGACGGCGCTCCAGTTGGGCTGTCTGTGGTTTCAGCTGATTCGGTAGTGCGGGCGAACACACACACACACACACACACACACACACACACACACACACGGCCCGCAAAGAAACGCACACAAACCACCACACACCATCTTGTCAAAGCCAGAGAAACTGTACCCCGGCCCAACGATGGAGTAATCCAACTCAAACACTCCCAAAACCAGCAGGATTAAACCCAAAGTAGCAGAGCCAATCAAACAAAGGCACGACGTGAACTCCATTTCAATGCCAGGAAGTCCATTTGATGAAATAAAGTACGGAGAGTTTATTAGTGTGAATGCTTCGTGTTTGTGCTCTACAGTTTGATTTTGAGCTGACATGCTGCTTTTTTTTTTGTAGAAGGAAGAAACGAACACACGAACATTTGCTTAACGTTTTTTCTTTTTTTTTTTTCGTGTGATGCACGTCAAAAAGCAGTTAGCGCTGCTCCCGGCCAGCACTGTGGACAGTGGACAGTCAGCATTTTCCATGGCAGTTTCAAGAGCTTTGTTTGTGTTTGTCTAATTGCATTGCTTCCACAGGCCAGGCAGAGGCAGCGGGGATAAAGAGAGGAGAGAGAGAGAGACGGGGAGAAATAGAAGGAGAGAGAGTGAGGGAGTGAGAGAAGTTAGCAATCTGACTCCCTCGTTGTCAGTAAACTTTAAAGGAAAAGAACCGGCGTATTGTGAACGGCATAAAACTTCAGTCTTCCACAATTTGAAGTAGCGTGAATAATATCTGATGAAAAGCTTTACCTACACATCAAAGCTCTCCCTAAAGAGCGAGTAAACCAACAAGGCTTTACGTCCAACATGGCCACACTGTTGCAAATCTGTCCCCCCCCCCCCCATTTATTATTTAATGTAATTTGTCGAGCCTCTCCACCGCGGCCGACGAGCACTAACCGCTCTTGATTGGATCATGGAACTTGCTGCCCCTGCCCGCTAAAGTGTTCCAACACGGTCCAGAAAGCAAAACAAAAAAATCTAGGGCTCTTCAATCCAGCGCACTCTGCGTTTTGTTGAAGATCATTAAGGGCACTCTATAAATAAATAGAACAGGTAGCTCAGAAGAGGCCCAGTTGTTGGCCAACAGAGAACACACTCGCTGGGTTTCGACTGCTGCTCGGTGAACTTTATCGTGTCGCAGCTTCACCGCCGAGGCAGCGACGGGAAACTGACTGGTGATGCTTGTAAGAATCACTCAATATTAACAGATTCTGGGGGTAAGAGACTCTCGAACACAGTTTAGACGAGTGCTAAATTGTCAATCCCAAAGAATTTAGATTCTTTAATAAGAAAATAAAGACGACTGTCTCATGCTACTCAAGTGTGAGGATTTACTGAACATCTTTAGAACGTCACAGTGTTGGTCAGAGAAAACAAGGAGTGTGAAAACGTCACAATTTTACACTAAATCATAATCAACCAATCAGTCAAGAAAAATATTAGCAGGTTACTTGATAATGAATATAACTGCAGCTCCTATTCAGACCATTAATGGTAGAAATCTCATGTGCGACACATTTAAACACAAGAAACTACTTCAGTTTGGCCTCGTGAAGTGAACCAGTGCAACAAACCCAGATCGCCTTCGTAAATCACAGTAAGTAGTGAACGGGGGAAGCCGGTTTGTTTTGATGCTAAATACATCTCTCAGCCGAACCCACAGATGCTGCAAACAGGTTCATCGGAGCAATAAGCACTGACAGGCGAAGGATTATCTTGCTATGTTGGCACACACCTGCGACAATATTGCACAATAATCCGCTGCCTCTAGGTCATCGTTGCTTAATTATTAATTAGTTTCAAACAACGGGACTGGCAATGGAGAACCACTGGCCCTTTTTCTTGTTTTACAGCGGACACGGATCTGACCGGAGGCTAATGGGGCTCTGGGGTCACGAGGTGCCAAATTAAAAAGGGTAATAAACTCTTCAGCGGGCCATTGTGTGGTCCTGGTATAAATAGCAACCGGGTGTGCTGATAAAAAAAAATATTTCCCTCCCAAACACAATAGTTGAATTCATGCGCGAGATTCACCCGGCTATGCAATGCGGTACACGGTGTATGTGAGTGCTGCAGTCACAAGCTGCCAATAAGCGCATAGGCCTGCTCTGTCAGAGAACAGCATGGTATTCACCGCCCAACCCGTCCAACCAGCGAACGACTGCTGCAAACACAGCCAGCATGGGAGCTCAGGGATGAGCGACTGGCAGACAGACAGACAGACAGACAGACAGACAGACAGACAGACAGACAGAGTGGTCTGTCACACGGCCTGGCCAACACCTTCCCTCTAATCTCATTTGCTTGTTATCAGTCCCATCAGGCTGACCTCGGCCACCGCAAAAATAAATAAATAAAATAAGCCAACAGATGTCCATCAATTTGCCATTTGAGTTTATTTTTCCCCTCGTTCCTCAGATTACTGCGTGACCAGAAATCATGCTTCAGTTTGCTGCCACGGTTTCAACCCCAGAAGCAGACTATGCGCGAGTGTATCGAGTCCCGTTTGGATTTGGATCATTTGGATAAAAAAATTAAATAAATTAAAATCAGATCAGACGACGCATCAAAAAAAAAAATCAAGAAAAAAAAGAATTCCCAGATGAAGAAATGATTGGTGCCATTGTTGGCGGGTTGGAGGACAGGACTGTTTCGGAGGCAGCAGACAAACCTCTTCTGTGTCTGAA